AAGATCCCACATGCCGCGGAGCGGCTGGGCCCGTGAGCCATGGCCGCTGAGCCTGCGCGTCCGGAGCCTGTGCTCTGCAACGGGAGAGGCCACAACAGTGAGAGGCCCGCGTACCGCAAAAAAAAAAAAAAAAAAAAAAAAAAATGGTCCACATCAAAAAAAAAAATCTAAAAAAAATTATGTATATAAAAAAAGTATAATTTGAGGACCAATCTAAATGTTATGAGGGTGAGTTATAAAATAAGTAAAATCTCTTATTTTAGATAGAGTTGAATATGACACCTCTTCCCCCTCCCCAAATCACATGATGCAGAAGAAATCATTAATCTCAATTATGTACCATGGTGAAATGTTAACCTTAACAACACAACAGTGACTAATGGATTTTCCTTAACATTGTTTTGATATTTAAATAAAACATTCTTTAAAAATTACATCAATATTACATGTAGAGCTCAAGGAAGCCACTTTGACTTCTAATGATGTCTAATCCCTAAGAGTAGTTCCATTTGTATTTAAACTTTTATAAATGGAATCATGCAATATATTCTCTTTTGTGTCTAGTCTCTTTTGTTCAGTATGATACTTTTTAGATTCATTCTTGTTATTGCATATAGTTCTAGTCTGTTCATGTTTATTTCTAGATAGTAATGCATTGAGTGAAGGTGCAGTGATTTATCTATCCATTCTACTGGAGATGGACATTTGGATTGTTTCAAGTTTTAAGTATTTCATCAAATTTTAGAACAAAGTCATTAGCTTTGAGTTTTGATTATAGTAATTGCATTAAATTCTTTTGGATACAAAACAGTGGAGAAAGAGATAGCTAAAAAAAACTTTCCAAATAAAGCAAACACTTCTGTATTACTCATTTTGAGTAACAGTTTCTGGTTTGATAAGTAGATGAAAGGGGCACTGTGGACAAATTAAAAGGTGAAACTTTGGGGTTATGTTTGAGAGCAAAAAGGAGTTTGGTTTGACTGGAGCACTATTGCTTGGCAAAGTTGGAAATGACCTGGCAGTGTGGACAGAAATGGGGTTGTGGACCTTGAAGGCCTGTAGAAATTGTGTTTAATGTCTATAATGAGCCCCTGGAGGATATGCTCGATACTGTCTTTTAAGAAGATTAATATTGCAGTGATTATTGGGATAAGGACAGCAGTTGGCTATTGTGGGAAATGCATGAAGAATCTGAAGGACTAGGTCCATTCCTTGCTAGCTGTGTGACTTTAGACAAGTCGTGTAACCTGTCTGAGCTTCAGTGTCCACCTATGTACAGTGGAGATAGGAGTCCTGGTATTGTGAGAATGAAATGAGTTGGTCCATGTTAGAGAATTGCAGACTCTCTAGGGTTCTGGGGCCTCCACAGACCCCTAAGTGGGCCACTGCTGGGCCTGGGTGGGAATAAATGGGAGGCAAGGTGTTTAATCTCCTTTATTCAGTCTTATAGAGACTGCCTGTATTTAAGCCAATACTGCTGGTACAAATGTGATTTGTTTATATCTAGAGCACATTATGCTCTAGATATAGCGAGGTTCAGAATGAGGTCAGATAGTGAAGTGCAAGGAGTGTGGACAACACTGCCTATATTTGATTCTTGGCCCCTCCTCTTACCAGCTGCAGGAACTTAGTCAAATTATTTAATGTTTCTAGGCTATGTTTTAATAATGATACCTATCACATAAGATTATTAACTATGCCCCCTCCCTGCCCCACCACACACTCAATTCACCCCACCCACATTTACTTGTGTCGTAAAGAGATTTTCATACATTTATTGAACGTATTGACTGCTTAACCTATTACCATATGCCATACTTTGTAATTGACACTAGGTATATTCTTCAAGGGGTTTAGAGTTTCCTGGGATACCATACATGCAAACAGAGACTTCTAATAAAGTGCTATTATGATGATTGTTGTAATAGAGATGGACAAAGAGGACATGATAATACAAAATAAGGACACCTAACTCTCACAGTGGGTATAACAATGAAGATGGTGAGGGAGGAAAGAAGATGTCAGGGAAATGGACATGGAGGAGAGAGTCTCTGCCATAAACTATAAGACCCCGGCCACCAAGAGAGTGGGAGGGAAGAGTGCTTTAAGTACAGGGGACAAATTGTTAATGTGGCATGAAACATCATGGGCACTCTGGGAACTACACATAGTTGAGCATGGCAGGAGTCTAGACAGCAGGAGGAGGACTTGCTGGGAGAGATGCTGACCAGACAGGCAGATGCTAGGTCCTGAAGGGCTTTGCATGTCGTAGTAGGGAGTGAATACTTGATTCTATAAGTAATGAGCTAACACTAGAGTTTTTAGACCAGAGAGGGACATGATTAGATATATATGATGTAAAACGATAGCAGGCTGGTAGCCTATACAGTGTGATCACATAATTAAAGGGAGTGAGAACACAGGTCGTATGGCTGATGGAGAGGCTATTCCTGTCACACAGTGAGAAAAAACGTGAAGCCATGACCAAGGCATGGCCTTGAGAATAAGAAAGAAGGGATATTTTTGAGAGATTTATTCAGGTATATTTTGAGCACTTTGAATGCTGAGATCCTCAGGACTTGATAACCGGTTGGATGTGACAGGAAAGGGGGTGTTCAGCCCCAGGTCTGAGAGACTGGCTTCATAATGATGTTGTTCACAAGAGTAGGGGCATATTACCTTTTGAACACCTATGAAATATCTAAATGGAAATGTACAGCAGGTATTTGGCTTCTGTATCAGGAACTCATAGAAGTCAGTTGAAACATAGGCATGCAGTAAATCAACCAGGAGAGGCTGAGGGTAATCGTAATGAGAATCCTAACACATAAAAGAAGCATGGATAACGTTAGCCCCAGAAAATGATTTTGAAAGAGATGTCAGCTGGAGAGTTGGCTAAGATCTAGGAGAAAGTGGTGACATAGAACCCATGACAGAGTTTACAGTACTTACCAAACATTTTGTAACATTTAAATAATATTGGACATGGCTATAGAAAATGGTGCTTTTTGATTAAGTGGAGTCCAGAGTAGGTACCCCTCAGGGTGGATCACCTCCTCTTGGAGAGATCTGCCTAGATCAGAGGTCAGGGAAGTATGTCCTCCTGTTATTTGGGCCTAATTCGAGTGGGTCCTGATTCTTTACATTCTAGTTGAGGGTTGGGACTAGTTTTTAGTTTAAATGGGGTTAAAGGTTTCCTCTCTGTTTTTTCTTCTTTTGTTTTTAGCTGTGTTTCGAAAAAAGAATTCCAGTAGAAATAATTTTCTCTGTAGTATTGTATTGGCCAAAAAGTTCATTCGGGTTTTTGTAAGATCTTATAGAAAATTCCGAATGAACTTTTTGGCCAACCCAGTATTTAAATAGAAGTAACACAGTTCCTTTAAAAATTGGAGCTAAGTGGAGGACAACATCTACAATAACACTGTTTTTATTTTTTAATTTAACCCTTTGCGTTTTTCATGCATTTTGACTATGGGTTTCTTTAGAGCAGAAGCAAGGCATATTTGTCTTAATGTCCCCAGGGCACAACTCAGAGCCTGCCATATAGAAATGCTCAATAAAAACTTATTTTTGTCTTTCTTGTTCATGATTATGTAGTTCCTTTTTTGAGAGCTTCCAAGCTCTCCTGAATCTTCTTACCTTTCAACATCTCATTTCATTGAATTATGCCAATTCATCTTCTGAATTTTATTAATGCTACTCTTACTGTCTAAAGTTCAATATCCCTGCCTAAGAGCCAGGCCTAAGGTTATCAAGGTTGAGACAGAAAACTGTCCGGATGCTCCTGTTCCTTTTTTGCTTCCATAAGGACTCCTGTTTTTACTTCTCTTTGTTTTTCTCTCTCTCTATTTCAAATTTTTATTTTGCAAAATTTCAAATATATACTATCATATAGAGTATAACCAAATGCATTCCCAGCCTTTTTTCACTGTAACTTTACGATGCCATAATTAGAGTCTCATTAATGTTACATCTATTCTACTATACCAACCAGTTCCTCCGTGTTGATCAGACTTAAGTTCAGTGTAGGTTATGTTAGATGCCTTGTCTCCTCCCTGGGATATAGAATTAGCAGTAAGGAAGTCATGGACTCTGTGAGACTTGGAGGTGATGACCAGATGAGAGGGTTCTGGGTCACTGCTTTGTCTTTCCCTCATGCACCAGGGATGGCTTTACCCTCTCTACCTGGGTGGCTTATCACATGCTTCCTCAAAAAGTAACTTTGAGAACTTCACTGATTGAATAAAGTCTATGCTATTTTTCCATTTGGATAATGCTATATTTGATGTTTTAAGCTTCTTAACAAAATATGAATTTTCTTGCTGCCATTTCCTTATTCTTTTCAATGCCTATTGCCAGAAGATGATAGAGTTTTGTAGGTATGTTCCCATTCTAGGTTCAACTCTTCACTTTTTCACAGCTCTGCAAATTTAGTGCTTATCATAACTGTGGCAAGAGGTGGTGGAAATAATGGCTTTTGCTCATTCTAATATACACAGAAGTATTTCCTGTTTGCTTGACAGTAAAACTAGGATTCCTTTTTCAGAAGTTTTGCTGTTCATAGCATTTATAAAGAAATAAAATTAAATCTTTTAGAGTACAGGAAAAGTTTTGTAGGAAGAAGAAATAAAAGGTCTAAATTCATCACCCTATTTCTATACTCTGAGTATATTGCATTTGAGCTATTTTCTCCTTTGGTTTTTCTCTGTGCTATTTATACTCCACTTATGAAAATAAACTCCGTCTTCCTTACCTAATGAAAAGTTTTTTTATCTAATAATCTACAAATATCTTATTTCCTGGTGGGAAGGAATCTGCATTTAAAAAGTTTCTTTATCACTTCAGCTTTTTGTTGTTGTTGACTTGAAGTCGGAGCTGTAGTATGTGTATGTTCTTAGTATATAAATGGTGATTGAGTTCATTAAGGTGAACCACTGTATTGTTTTCCTTAGCCTTTTCTTTTCTGAAAGTATTGTGCCATTTCTTTTTTTTTAATTCAGGGAATCAGCAGTCTCTTCAGTTCTTTAAAAGTGGTGCGTCTCCTGCGACTGGGCCGTGTTGCCAGGAAATTGGACCATTACCTAGAGTATGGAGCAGCGGTCCTTGTGCTCCTGGTGTGTGTGTTTGGACTAGTTGCTCACTGGCTGGCCTGCATATGGTACAGCATTGGGGACTATGAGGTCATCGATGAAGTCACAAACACCATCCAGATAGACAGTTGGCTCTACCAGCTGGCCTTGAGCATTGGGACTCCGTATCGATACAATACCAGTGCAGGGATATGGGAAGGAGGACCCAGCAAGGATTCACTGTATGTGTCCTCTCTCTACTTTACCATGACAAGCCTTACAACCATAGGATTTGGAAACATAGCTCCTACCACAGATGTGGAAAAGATGTTTTCCGTGGCCATGATGATGGTTGGCTGTAAGTATCTTTTATTTTCTTTTTTTAAAAAAATTATTGTTGTTGATAGTTCTCCAGGCTCCACTCTCTGACAGTAGTAAATGAAACTGCTTTGTCTTCAGAAAAATATTTAATTCATATCATTTACATTGGTTTAATTTTTATTCAGCCTTAGAAAATAAAAAGGCAAAATAATATATTTTACTTTTTAGAATGTTTTAGCACATGAAAAGCAGTATGAATGGACTGATACAAAAATTAGAATGGGAACTCTTTGATTTAATTCTGTTCATAGCATTGTACCTGGCAGAGCTATTTCCAAAAGGAGACCAATATCTAGAAAGGCAGCATCTGGCATATTCCATAGGTTTTGTGAGCAATGCATAAAATTCTGAAAAAGTAGACAGGATCTGATGTGAGATACCCTGTTCAGAAAATGTTTTATTTAATAATTAGTTTTATGTAGGCTTTTACAATTAAGACTAGGCAAAGAGTTTATAAGTCTAGTCTCCATTACAAAATTCTAGCTGGAATATATTCCGGTCTGAGAGAATGAAAGTATTAGTAAATGTAAGCTTATTCAGCAATGACAAAAGTGTCTAGGATGTAGCATACAGACCTGAGTACTAAATGTCTTGATGATGATCTTGGGAGTAGAATTCTCTCTACAGGAGTGAAGGACCACGTATTCTATCCTCAGACTGAGGCTGGATGATACAGAAGATCAGAATTAAGGAAATACATACAAAAGAAAATGTTGAAAAAGGAGATTTTTGAGGGGGACTTCATCACCATACACACCCTCACGTTGACTTTGATGATTTATCCAAGCCTAGTTCTGAGACCTAGAGTAACCTTAGGACTGGAGGTTTTTTTTTTTTTTTTTTTTTCCCCGGTATTTGGGCCTCTCACTGTTGTGGCCTCTCCTGTTGCGGAGCACAGGCTCCGGGCGTGCAGGCTTAGTGGCCATGGCTCACGGGCCCAGCCGCTCCTCAGCACGTGGGACCCTCCTGGACCGGGTGTCCCCCGCATCTGCAGGCAGACTCCCAACCACTGCGCCACCAGGGAACCCCCACACGGGATCTTTTGTTGCGGCACGCGGGCTTTTCTAGTTGTGGTGTGCAGGCTTCTCTCTAGTTGTGGCGCATGGGCTCCAGAGCGTGCGGGCTCGGTAGTTGCAGTGCGTGGGCTTAGTTGCCCCGTGGCATGTGGGATCTTAGTTGTCCAGCGGCATGTGGCGTCTTAGTTTCCCGACCAGGGATCAAACCTGTGTCCTGCATTGAAGCCAGATTCTTAACCACTGGATCACCAGGGAAGTCCCAGGACTGGAGTTATGATTAGTGTTATTAGCACCTTTTAAGCCTCTGGGTCATGGTAATTGGTTTTTGGTCTAAGCCATCCTTTTTGAGATTCCACCTTATAGAATTTTATATTATGACACTAATGGGAAAAATGTTAGAGTCCAGGAATGTCGGCTGACTCGTGAAAGGTCAGTATCTTGGGTCTAAACAAGGTACTTTTCAGAGTTCATGTCTGCAAGCTGTTGGTCACCAATGTTAACAGTTGTTTAGCCTTCTGTACTCCTTTGTACAGGTACAGAAACAAGAACACACAGGTTCTCTTCACTGCTTAAAAGTAACAGAGGGAGAGTGAGAATTCCAAGTGCTGTTTCCTCCAGAGGCTTTTAGGAGGAAAATGTTCTTACAAAGAGATCTTGATGATCTCTTAATTAAACTACTGCCTACACACTGAAAGTGATAAGATGTATTGGCAAAAATGGTGCTTTACAAATTCAGAAGACAACGTTTTGTCAGATATAGTATTTTTTACTGTACTGCTTTTAATATTTATATAATGTATTTTGCCTTATACTTGAGCATAGTTAGATTAAAAAATTTATTTTGAATTATAGATTCACTGGAAGTTGCAAAGACAGTATAGTGAGGGCCTTTGTGCCCTTCCCTTAGTTTCCTCCAATAGTTATATCTTATATGACTCTAGTACAAGATCAACATTGGCATTGGTACCATGTGTGTATATAGTTCTGTGTTGTCTTATGACATGTGTAGATTTCTGTAACCACCACTGAAATCAAGACACAGAATTGATCCATTACCACAGAGATCTCCCTCATGTCACACTCATGGGCCTCCCTAACCCTGGCAACTACTGATCTGTTCTTTATCTATATAACTTTGTAATTTTGAAAATGCTATATAAATGGGATCATGCAAAATGTGATTTTTTGAAATTGGCCTTTTCCACTCAGCATAAGTCCCTTGAGATCCATCTGAGTTGTTGAGTGTATTAATAGTTTATTCCTTCTTATTCCTGAGTAGTATTCCATGGTTTGGATATACTGCTGTTTAATCATTCATCTATTGAAGGATATTTTGATTCTTTCTAATTTTTGGCTATTACTATAAAACTTCCATGCACGTTTGTGTAGTTTTTTGGTTGGACATAAGTTTTTAGTTCTCTGGGATAAATACCCAGAAAAGAGATTTCTGGGACATATAGTGTCTATTTTTAAAGAAATTGTCAAACTATTTTGCAGAGTAGACATACTAGTGTAGTTTGATTTTTCAACAAGAGAATAACAGAAAAATAAAATCTATGTAGAATTGAAGGACACCATTATTTACTTTGTTTCTCGGGCCCCAAAACTTGGGAATCATCCTAGTTTCCTGTTTTTCTCATGTATTACATCTATTCATAACAAGTTTATTGGCTTTACCTTCAAAATACTCCATTCAAACCACTTCTTCAGAAATTCTTCTCAGTGCCACCCTCCTATAAAAAAACACCACAATGCCAATCACTCTTATCCTCTTCCCTTTAATCTTTTTCTTCATTGTATCTACCAAGACCTGAAACCATGTTCACTCTGTTTCTCTTTTCTTCAGAATGTAAGCTCCATGACACTAGGGCCTTTGTCTACCTTTTTTGCCTCTATATACTCAACTTCTAAATAATTTTAATGCCATGCTCAGTCTAAATTTGCTGTATGAATGAATGAAGTTGAATATGTCCCTGATGATTATAATAAGAATCTCCTGTCATTGAATGCACCCCAGTTAGGTCTCTGATGAATATACATGCCAGAAAAATGCACACTCTGAATTTTAGCCATGAGTCCTTTGTGAAAGCCCTGGTGAGCTCACCTGTATTGTCTGCCTGTGGTAGTGTAGCAGCTCCTTCAGCTGGATTGCCCCAATCTTGTCTTTCACGAGGCCTGATAATAAGTTCTGAGAGGCTAGTCATTAGAAGCACCAGCAACCCTTTCTCCCACCATTTTTTTTTTTTTTTTTTTTTTTTTTTCCATCTACGTTCTGGATTTACCTACATTGGAAATTTTCACATAGATTCAGTTGAGTTTTCAAAACTTCCTTTAGTTCAGAGTTGTTCCCATTCTTCTCTACTTCATGTATGGCTAATTATATTGCTATATCAAAATTTCTTTCTCCTCTCTTCGTCAGTTCCTGTCTTAATGTCAAGAGGAAGTTCTGGTCATAAAGTGGATCCTTTTCTTCCTGAGTTTCTGCTGTCTCCTTTCAACACCTGAATAAACCAATATCTGACATCTTTTACCTGTCGAATTTGGTTTTCTTTTTATGCCTCTGAACAAAGCCAGCTTCTATAGCCAGAGTGTTCCAAGGAGATGCCTTTTAATTTCCTTCTTAGTTCTTGGGTCCTTAGTAATTTCATGGAATATTTCCTTTGCAACAACCCAAGAAGCTGATAGAAAACTGTTAAGACCCATGAAGTGTTACAGTAACTTCCCACAATTCCAAAACTTATTAGACACACATGCACAAAATATCAACCAAATGTGGCTATTTCAGCTGTTTGTGATCTTAGTATAATTTTTTTCCTGAGATAGTGTTGCCAAAATCTTGGCTCCCTGTACACCGATGCCAAAATGAGATACAGAGACAGAGTTTTGGAGGAGAAAGAAAGGGTGGCTTTATTCTTTGCCAGACAAAGAGGGGAACACAGCAGGGTAGCACCTCAAGAACTGTGCCCCACTCCCTGGGGAATAGGGAGAGGTCTTATAGTCAGGGCTCATGGTCAGGGGTATGTGATAAGGATCAAGGTGGTAACAGTCCTGCATTCTTCTTTCTTCTGCAGTTTCAAAAGGGTGGGGTTGCTGACAAGATTAGGGGGTGTGCAGGGTCTCAGGTGGTCACTCTTCTAATCTTGATGAGCTTCTCTGGTCCCTTTAATCTTGCCTCAGGTGGTTTCCTGGCTGCTCCTCCCTTGATTTGCAACTGTTCAAATCTGCCCTTTGGAACTCAGGGAAGGTCATGGAGGCTGGAGTCTTGCCTATAAGAAACAGGGGACAAAAAGGCCTCTGTGCCTGGGAGCCCCATAGGGCCCTGCTCCGTTTCAGTAGCACCAGGGAAAACAAAGGAAAACAAACCACCAGTGTTCTCAGGGTGTGTGTGTGTGTGTGTGTGTGTGTGTGTGTGTGTGTGTGTGTGTGTGTGTGTGTGTGTGATGGAAAAGGGGAGTAAGGGAAGAGGGAGATAGAAAACCGGTTTATGCTTTCAGCTGTGCAGTCAATCTGTGCCGGCTGTTTGAGAAGCATCACTTGTAACCTTATAACTCAATACATGAGAAAGATGTTTTGTCAAAAAGTTGTTGGAGATACCAAGTGCCTATTTTCTGTTGAGAAAGTAATCACGGCTTGTAAATGATAGCTTCATTTTTTCTGGAGAAAGTCATCTGAAATTTTTGTGCCTTCCAGCAAAATTTAAAAATTTCAGTGGCAGCAATTCCAGTTCCTAGAGATTTTCTGAGCCCTCGTCTTTCTTTAATGGCCTTTCCTCTGAGACTCCTTGGTTCTTTCTGTTACTGAGTCCAAGCTCCCTCTGTTCACCACGAGACAGGCCAATAAATCGGTAAACGAGGTGTTGAGGCAAGGAAAGCTGGCAGACGGAGAAGATGGCGGACTAGTGTAGCCAAGAAACCATCTTATGGGGTCTGGATGCCATGTTTCTTTTATAGAACAGAGAGGGGAAGAGTTGAGGAAGAAAAGTAAAAAGGCCATTTGTCTTGCAAAAT